GATAGTTAATGGCACAAACTTTTTATGTAGAGTTTTAATGGAATACAAAATGGCAGAGAATATTGGTTTCACCTGTTCCAGTTTTAAGGCATGAAGATGGGCTCAGGTTACCTTAGGTGATAGAAATCTATTGTTAGGATTCTTGTAGGAGGGAAGGTAGCCCAACAGTCACTGAAGTTGTACTGAATTCATTCTCTGGAAGCTAACAAGTTGTCTCCTCAATCCACACCTTCCTGCCCTCAACTTCCTTCCACCAAGTAGTGGAAGTCATTTTCACATGAAATCAATATGTATAAAACAGGGAAAAATTGAGTTGCATTGATTCAAGTGAAGATTAGAGGGTTGATCTGTTACCCTTTTTTCCCTCTTGTGCCCTCACACTTCCTCTTTTTCTCTTCACCTTGAGGCCCTTTTAAGGTTCTGCAGTACCATATGAAAGAAAACTCCTGTAACAACAAGTTATTACTCACTAACTAGAATAACTAGTAACTCTGTGTGCCCTGTTTTTGCTTTGGTGATTCATTGGCAACTCTAGTTATTGCCATTCCCTTTAGATGCTATACCTATTGCTCTTTTTTCTGGTCACTATCTGGATCTACTAAGTCTTCACTTGCTGACTATAAACCCAGTTCTAAATTAACTGCAACAATGCCAAATCTAAAAATTTGATTAAAATATTCATATTTCTGTTTTCTTAATTTTCCCCTGAGGCACACATTCCCTCTTGATAATCTTCCTGCTCTTCATTTTTAGAAAGCTTGGGAGGGGGAATCCTGGGAAGTAGAATGATTTCATTCCCTCCTTCCCATGTTCTTGTGGAGCAAGCCTTGGACCTTTATTTTTTGTCTGTGCTGTACTTTTAATTTATCCTTACTACTTGAATTTTTGTTGTTGTTGCCAAGTTTGAGGTTCCTTATTTCAGTAGCTGGTTTCATTTGGTTAAGGCAGAAGGATTTGGCAAGGTGAGGGTGGTTATGAGAAAGTTGATAAGGCTGGAAAGGTAGGCAGGTGCTGGGTTAGATGGTCAGAGCCTTGTATCTCATTTCAAGGAATTTGTATGTTATCTTAGAGTTAGTGGAGAGCCTCTAAAAAAATTGAAATAGATGAGGGACATAGGAGAGGGGTTGGAAGAGGGGAATGACAAGGTTAGCTATTAATTTTTTAAAGGTAATTTTGATATCTGTGTTGAGGAAGATAAATAGGAGAAGGTACCTTATAGAAAAGAGAGCAGTGGTCTTCAGACTAGCAGCAGCACAACACCTGGGAAATACAGATTCTCAGGCCTTCCCCCAGACCTATTGAATCAGAAATTCTGGGGGTGGGGTGCAACAGTCAGTGTTTTATTTGATTCTGATGTATGCCAAAGTTTGAAAGTAAGGATATGGAGGCCAATGAGGTTACATTTCAGTTTGCAAATGTTTTTCACATTAATTATGTAGTTGATTTAGTTGAGATGTTCATTATGTTTGTGTTTTATATTCATAATTACATTCACAATCAGAGAAATCCTATATATCCTATCTAATAAAAGAGAAACATGGTAATTAGCCGTACGGCCGCTACCCTTCCCATTGGCTAATCACTGAGATATGCAAATTAACTGCCAGCCAAGATGGCGGCCGGCAGCCAGGCAGCTTAAAGC